CAACCACATTCAACCAAGGTTTATTGAAGATGCAAGTGAACTTATCACCTTTTTCCAAGACCACAATCTACACACATGCCTACCCCGGGGTACAGCAACCTTCTGGCCCCTTAACGACCCAGGGAAAAGCACCACCATTGATCAGACGGTGTCAGACCGCCCGGACCTGCTCGTTAAATGTCACCTCTACCACGAAAACTATGGATCGGACCATCGAGCAACATACTCGGAGTGGAGCCTCAAGCCCCACCACAAACCCACAACAAAAACGAGGAAAGCATACGAACGAGCAAATTGGGACAAGATTGGGGCTGAAATTCTCCTGCGGATGGGCCCATGGGATGAGATCAAAACAAGACCAGCTCTAGACGAGGCAGTAGAAAGGCTCACGGAAATAACGACGTCGGCCGTGGAAAACCACACTCCAAATCGACGACCAAGCCCCTACTCCAAACGCTGGTTCACCCCAAACCTGAAAGCCCAACAAACTGAAGTCAACTCCATCCGTCGGAAATGGCAAGAGAGCTGCGCGGAGCACGGACGCCATCACACACGGTCGGAGGACCTCTTTGAAGAGATGCAAGAAAAGCGCCGAACCTGGACACGCACCATTGAAAAGGCCAAAAGGTCCTACTGGAAACAGTTCCTAGACGGAGCTGGGGAGGGAAAACTGTGGAAGGCTGCCACCTACATGAAACCGCGAGAGAGCTGGGGACACGTCCCTTCCTTGCAGGTCGATTCCAACGAGCTGGCCGAGAATGAGGACAAGGCCCAAGCGTTTCTTGACACCTTCTTCCCCAAGATGAACGATCCCGTCGAAGACCCACCAGTCCAAGCGCCTCCGGAGCTACCGTGGCCACCGATCACCGAACTAGAAATCCAGCGAGCCCTCAAAGCGACGAAAGGCTCCACAGCACCAGGCGAGGACGGCCTACCAGCCCTCGTATGGAAGCACCTGTGGCAGTCTCTGAAGCAGCTCATCACCAGGATTTTCACGGCATCAGTCAAGCTAGGACACCATCCTAGGCGATGGCGGGGAGCAAAGATTGTGGTGTTGCGGAAACCAGGGAAGCCGGACTACTCGATCCCTGGGGCCTATCGCCCGATCTCACTCCTCAACACACTCGGGAAACTTCTTGAGACAGTCATAGCTCGACGACTGTCGTACCTCGCTGAGAAGCACGGCCTGCTACCCGATACACAATTCGGTGGGCGACCGGGCAGGACCACCGAACAAGCCCTGCTGGTCCTTGCTAACGCTATTGACCAAGCTTGGTATAAATGCAAAGTAGTGACGCTTATCGCGTTCGATCTGAAAGGAGCCTTCAACGGAGTCAACAAAATCAGCCTCGACGCCCGGCTCCGCGCGAAGGGAATCCCAGCCGTCGCTAGGAAGTGGATTGCGAGTTTTATGAGCGACCGGTTCGCCAGCATCGGCTTCGACGACTTCCGGACCGAGGTCGCGCCGCTGATCAATGCTGGCCTCGCGCAAGGCTCTCCCCTGTCACCGATTTTGTTTATATTCTTCAACTCCGATCTGGCCGACCAGCCGGTCACCTCTCAAGGGGGCGCATCAGCCTTCATCGATGACTACTTCCGCTGGCGAGTGGGCCGCTCGGCCGAAGAGAATTTGGCCAAGATCCAGTCCGAGGATATCCCCCGCATCGAGGCATGGGCCCGACGGACCGGGTCCTCCTTTGCAGCCGAAAAGACCGAGCTCATCCATCTCACCAGGAGAAGAAGCGAGCACTTACAGGGGCAAGTGGTCATGAACGGGAACACAATTGAACCATCAGCCAAAGCCAAGTTACTGGGGGTGATCTTCGACCACGAGCTGCGATGGAAGGAGCACATCCAGCAAGCTATCAAGCGGGCCACAAAGACGGCTATCGCTCTGGCTGGGCTACGACACCTACGCCCGGAACAGATGCGTCAGATCTATCAGGCGTGCGTCGCACCAGTGGTAGACTACGCATCAACCGTCTGGCACGATCCTCTACGCGATAAAACCCACCTACGTCACCTAACCACTGTACAGAGAGTTCCTCTGATCCGTATCCTATCGGCCTTCAGGACGGTGGCAACTTCCACACTAGAGGTAGAAGCACATGTCCTTCCGACACACCTCCGCCTTCGCCACCGAGCCCAGCGGACCATCGCAAAGCTCCACACCCTACCACGCAGTCACCCTATCTGGAACGCATTATCACGAGCTCAGAGACGGAGGAACAATATCGGAACATCATCCCGTTTCCCTCTGGCGGAAGCATTGAAGACGATGAACCTAGAAAGACTGGACGAACTAGAAGCGATCGACCCAAGCCCGCTGCCACCGTGGCGAGCCGAACCCTTCACAGACATCGAAATTGGATCAGACCGAGAAACAGCCGTAGAGCGAGCCGAAGCTGCACGGTCCGAATCGGACATTGTTGTCTATTCAGATGCCTCTGGACGCGAGAGCCACCTGGGTGCGGCTGTCGTCGCACTAGACAACGACCTGCAGGTCGTCGAATCCAAACAAATCCAAGTGGGACCAATGGATCGGTGGTCGGTGCACGTTGCGGAGCTCATTGGCATCTTCTACGCGATTAGCATGGTTTTCATGCTCGCCCATCAGAGTTTAGCCAACAGACAAAAAACAGCGACGATCCTATGCGACAGTCGATCAGCGTTGCAGGCAACTCAGAACCCAAGAAGCAGATCCGGACAGCGGATCATTCACGCGATCCTCCAAGCTGCCACCGAGGCCCAGGCAGCAGGCATCACGCTCCGTCTTCAATGGGTGCCAGGACATTGTGATAACCCAGGAAACGATGCCGCAGACCGACTGGCCAAGGTCGCCGCGTGCCCAGGCAAAACCCACCCCTTTCGTCCGCTACTCTCGAGGGAAAGTGCGCGCATCCGGAGTAAAATCCTTGATCACTGGGAACAGGAATGGAGGTCGTCTAACAAAGGCGGCCATCTACGGAAGATTGACAACACCCTGCCAGCAAACTACACGCGAAGGCTGTACGGGAATCTACCGAGGAACCGAGCGTACCTGTTGACCCAGCTACGCACGGGCCACAATTGGTTATCCACCTACGCTAAGACCTTTAGATTCCGCGACAACGATAAGTGTGTGTGCGGCGCGCAAGAAACAGTCACCCACGTGCTGGTGGACTGTCCGGACTTAAGGGTTATTCGAAGTAAGCTACGGAGGGAAGTGGGAGACGCATTTGTCAGTATCTCGAGTCTGCTGGGAGGCTCAACCGACGGTAAGAAAGGTAAACCAGACACCGTCACACGGTCTAGGACAGTTCAGGCTGTACTGGACTTCGCTGAGGCGTCACAACGGTTTTGGAGTCGTGCGCCACGAGGGCAGCCTAACAATGGGAACGGCAACTAGGCCACCGCAGGCCTTGACGAGGCTCCAAGGTCGTTTTCAGGAAGTGGAACATTCTACATGTATGTACCCGTGGATATATATAGTTGCTGTAGCCTGCATATCGCTTTTCATTGCGAGGGGTCAGGGTAAATGAAATCAACCAACCAACCAACCGACTGTAGTAACGTTTATACAAGTAGGCCACCATGGCGCCACCCCGGCATTTGCAGAAGTTTGTGCAAGTCGTTCTGGGTGATGGAACGATATCTTGTCCATAATCACAGAGATTCTGGTTCTAACCATCTTCCGTAATGCTAGAGAAGCTGAGCTATGAGCCCTCAATATAGTGGAGTCCGTATATCCGCGGAAGACACGCGAGAGGATGATTCTATCTTGGGCATATGCCGAGGTACCTGGCATCGCTTGTCGGGCTGGAACTAGGCTACCTGCAGTGAAGCTTTGTCAAGGGGCTTTGTCAAGGGGCTTTGTCAAGGGGCTTTGTCAAGGGGCGCCCAATCTCTCCAGGTAAAACCAACCCGTCTATCACCGCATTCGAATTCATCATATGCTGAGTGCTACGATTAAAGTCCGATATTTTATGCGGAAATCATGCATATCGGCGTTTTGCTCCCTTGTATATTGTCTCACGATCTTTCTAGTTTAACGTTGGCAACATGGGCTCTCCCAATAAAGGGTGAATGTATGTCGATCGGTGGAGTAAAGAGGAGTCTTGGGAGATGTAAGGAGCCGAGATCTGCCGGGTCGCCATGAAGCACAAGAATTGCTGGAGGGAATAACATGACGTAAATAATGAGATCTCTGCCGCGAATCGTCGACGATCTGCATTTTTTTTAGCACCCAATGGCCAAAAAAGGGTGGAGCTGACATCTTTTGTGAAGGATGGATGTCAGGGTATGGAGGGGCAGTGAAGTAGGACTGTATAGGAGTTTCGTGTAAAATATGGTATTGCCCTGAAACGAACGAAGTGAGAGAAAGGGATTTAAACACGGGATGTATGTTTGTAATACTCGATGGGCGGCGAGGAGAGATTGGGGGAGACCTGGCAGTGCCAGGCTGGCACTGCCGAATAACCGCATATTCTTCAGGATCTTAATAACAGATCGCTTGCTGCATTTGGCTACCTTGGCCATTTGTGATGTGGTGAGTCTTTTTACTGCATAACATGTGGACAATAACGTCACGCTGCCAGGACACGATATTTCGAGCCATGTTGTGATAGAAGGGAGGGAACTCTTTTCGCGAGAATGAATTCTTGAGGGGCTACTTTTGGAACTGTAATTAAACACGAAAATACAACCCAATCCTGTTTCATACGGGTCAGGTATTATACTGTTCGGTGTTAGAGCATTATTACGAGTATTTTGGCTAGCCAAGATAGGGTTTAGTATCATGTGACTAGGGTTACAAAAGGCATCTCATCATCATCTGTGATGGAAGGCAATAACGGACGGCACGTATCGAGAAGTGGGCACAGCGAACCGGGTCCATCTTCGCAGCAGAGAAAACCGAGCTCATTCACCTCACCAGAAAGAGAGGAGAACACCTGGATGGACAAATCACCTTTAATGGAACCGATATCAAGCCATCGCCTACAGCGAAACTACTAGGGGTGATGTTCGACCAGGAACTCCGCTGGAAGGAACACGTCCAACAGACTATCAAGCGTGCTACCAGAACGACTATCGCGTTAAGTGGGCTCCGACATTTGCGTCCAGAACAAATGCGGCAACTTTACCAAGCATGCGTCACGCCTATCGTAGACTACGCGTCGACAGTCTGGCATGACCCGCTGCGGGACAAAACTCACCTTCGACAGTTAAACACAATACAGAGGGCCTCACTGATCCGAATCCTGTCAGCGTTCAGGACGGTAGCGACAACAACGCTAGAGGTAGAGGCTTATGTACTCCCTACACATCTTCGTCTCCGCCATCGAGCGCAGCGCACCGTCGCGAAGCTACACACCTTGCCTCGCGATCACCCCATCTGGAGTGCACTATCACGAGCCCAGAGACGTAGGGATAACATGAGATCACGATACCGGTTTCCCCTCGCAGAAACTCTCAAGACTATGGACCCTTCTAGGTTAGCCGCACTAGAGACGATCGACCCGAGACCACTACCACCATGGCGTGGCGAGACGTTTACAGAGATTGAAATGACGTCGGGCCGGGAGACAGCAAGGGAGCGGGCTGAGACCACACGGGCCACATCCAACCTCGTCGTGTATTCAGACGCCTCAGGACGCGAGGGCCACCTCGGGGCAGCCATCGTCACACTTAACGAGAATAATGAGGTGGTGGAATCTCAACAGGTCCAGGTGGGACCGATGGACAATTGGTCGGTTCACGTAGCTGAACTCATAGGCATCTTTTATGCGGTCAACATGGTGTTCAGACTGGTCCACCAGCGCACAAACCCCATAAACAGGGTTCCTGTAACAGCAACAATCTTATGTGACAGCAGATCGGCCCTACAGGCGATCCAGAACGTGAAGAATAAATCGGGACAACGCATTGTCCATGCGATCCTCCAGGCAGCTACCGAGGTTCAGGGAGAGAATATCAGACTCCGCCTCCAATAGATGCCTGGGCACTGCGAGAACCCAGGGAACGACGCTGCAGACCGGCTTGCCAAAGAAGCCGCGCAACCGGGTAAAACCCACCCCTTTCAGCCTCTATTGACCAGGGAGAATGCATACATCCGCGCCAACATCCAAGCTCAATGGGTATCAGAGTGGAAATCTAGTCAGAAAGGCACCCACCTACAGCAGATTGACAACAACCTACCGTCAAGGTACACCAGAGGAATGTACGGAAACTTGTCCAGGAACCGAGCGTACCTGCTCACACAACTACGCACGGGCCACAACTGGCTAGCCAGTTACGCGAAGAGATTCGGCTTCCGCGACGATAACCTATGCGAGTGCGGCGCCCAGGAAACGGTCCGCCATGTGTTGCTGAACTGTCCAAACTTGCAAGAGCTGCGGGGTGAATTGAGGACAAAGGTCGGAGACGCACTCAACCGTGTGTCGAGTCTGCTGGGAGGCTCAAATGAAGGTGAGAAAGGTAAACCAGACACCGTCTCGCGAACCAGAACAGTGCAAGCTGTACTAGATTTCGCCGAGGCGTCACAGCGGTTTCGCAGTCGCGCGCCATGAGGGCAGCCTAACAACAGGAACGGCAACTGGGCCACGATAGGCTGTGACGAGGCTCTAAGTTCGTTTCAGGAAGAGGATCACATTACATGTATATAATCGAAGATATATAGTTGAGGTATCCTGCATATCGCTTTTATTTGCGAGGGGTCAGGGTAAATGAAACCAACCAACCAACCAACCAACCACTGTAACTACGGTCGAACACCATCATTTGTGCTCTTGCATTGGGCTTGAGGTAGTTTCACAAATTCTTGTGAATATGAAAACTTCTGTTTATTGTCCTATTGCATCCAAATATTGAGTCCGATTGATCCTTTCTCTGCCCACTTTTGAATCTAGCGCTTTGATTGACACAACATACCGAACGTCATTATCGATTTTTGGGAGCCAGCCCATCTGATCCGTAATAGGAAGCTAGCTGGGAACTAAAGCAGGATTGATCTGCAAATATGAGATACTCCATCGTAGATTTCCGTGTAGAGGCGCTCAGGCAAGTGGATCAGAATATTCTATGGGCTCGATACTCCAATTAGGCGCCTACAGCTAGGTCAGCAGCCAGAGCACCCAGTGGAAGAGAACCAGGTGGTATCGCGTGAGGCACGCGAATCGGCTAGTCAGGCAAAGTTCCCTCGCAAGAGGACTCCGACAAGATGTAGTGGTGCCGGTGAAATAGGCCATAAGATTCATCGATGTAATAAGCGTTAATTTGAGATGAATTAATATCTTATTGGTGGAATTACATTGAATATGAAATCGAGATTGGGTTTGGGTGAGCGGGCCGGCCGTGTGACCGGCGAGACCATGAATTACGTTAGGAAGTAATTGCTGCAATTCATCGGCTCTACCTATCGGCGACAAAATAATTGGGTGCAATTCACGGCCTAGGCGTGAGAGTTGGGGTGATCAGTTGGCGAAGATCAATCTGTTTTGTCTTAATTTATTTTAGCAACTACCAATTCGATAACCCAGAAAGGAATGCTTTGACTGGTCAACACTCTAATCTGCTGGTTGCTACATTACACGGGGTACTGTGAGTGCGATAAAGTAGGTATTGGCGGTAATCGAGAAATGTATTAGAGAGTCAATATATGAGTGTAGCCTTTTGAGATAAGCATAGATCTGACAGCTATATCAGTAGGAAGTTAGTAGGGGTTACCTCAGAAGACGATGGAGTTGAGACTAGGTCCACTTAGGAACGAGGCTAAGTTGCCCGGGATGAAGGGATGTCGGTGAGTATTACCCATCGACTGAGATACTCTACTACCTGGCGCTAGGACTGACAGAGGGGATGGATGGTTTGTAAGTGATGAACATCGACTGAGACGCTCCATAAATTAATGCCGTGACCTGCCAGTCCGCAGGATTGGTCTGGTAGCCGCATTTAAACAATGACCCTTCTGTCAGTACAGTTTGCATTTCTATTATAAAAGAGTCCACTCACAATTCTTAATCTTCGATCTTGTCCAAGCTTCGACTCGCTCTAAAGATGCTCGGCGGACCGTTTGGACAACGCACAGCTGGATTTGGCACGGATCAGCCCGACTTCCTTCCTCCTACTTTCGACCCAACGCCTCGTCGTATTGGTCTGCACTCCAGCTAAATTCATGGCTGACGATCGATGGGCAATAGCACTGAGCAGACGTACGAGACTCTTCGATGCCGATCTCCACACTAGCTTGCTGCAGTTGTAAGGTTGGAGTGTACTTGGAGCCATGTTGGGACACGGCTCAAATATTCGACTTACGTGAGATATCGGCGACGTGTGCATGGATATAGAAGGGGTATCTGGAAGGTGACTAACTAAGTTGACTTGTACGATTTTGAAACACTTGGGGCTTGTTCGGAGGTATGTTCTATAGGGTACCTGGCTAGTGGATCGGCGAAGACTTTTGACCAACATGAGGTCATACTTGCGCAGGAAGATTTGGCGGTGCTCTCATAGACAAAGAATCTAAGAGAGCTTGGGTTGCGTCAGCTCAGCTCGGCAAGGCTTATGAGGGTTTCTCTACATACGGGATATTGTGATGTTGTCTGGGCTTGTGTCCTACCTCCTGGCTAGCAGGTACGAAGTAGATAGGGCGAAATATCTACGGCGTAAGGGATCTGGGTAGCTTTAATGGTCAGTACGATATTTTCGTGTCAGTGTAGAACTCGGAGAGAATCAACGGTGAGAAACTCCTTATGGGAATCATCATGGAACTGCTAAATCAAAAGGAGTGACCCTCTGGCAAAGTACGGCAGATGTTCTAACGCTCAAAATGCGGGCTCAATGGTATACGATGATTGTTTCAATGCTCGCCTCACCCTTGTTGATGATGAGAGCTGAAGTTGGGTGTCTGCCCGCTATTGTCTGAATGTGATACGCAGGACGATCTCGAATTTCTGTTCGACTTCTGCTGTAAAGGTAGTATCTAGTCGTATAGGGCAAAATCTAAAATTTGCATAATCAATCTTCGATGCTACGGTGCCGATGAAGAGTCGGGAAGCCACCGAAGGAGATCCCCTTGGCGCAGTCGTGAGGGCCAGAACTGCTTATATCCTCGTTCGCACGCCTTTTCCGATCCTTGAGTTGAAAAGCCATTCTATGTCGATTGTAACGCAGAGCACCTACACTTCAGGAGCCGAGGTGACAGTCGTTTCGTCCAGGTGTAGCGAGACCAGAGGAAGCCGGTGTAGTCGCTGTCGTTGGTTTTGCGTGAGGTGGATGAAAGATCTAGGGGATGACGAGCCTACCCTCCAAGCCTCGACCCAACTTGCCCTTTCTCTCGCGACGCGACCATATAAAAATCCCTAATAGCCCTTCGCCGGCTTCGATTGGGATTATGTGGCAATTACGATGAGGAGACGTACTCAATTTCCAACGTATACTTCAATACAAGCTAATTGCAGCTGCAGCCTTAGCGGGATGCAGATGTAGCCTTGCTCCCGGACATTCCTCGAAACTTCGAATTACCCGAGGCAATGACGACGTGTTCATGACCTTAGCAAGTGGCTTTTAGGATATGGGGGTGTAAGTCGAGGAATTCATACTTATCAGACGCTGATGATCTCGCTGGAGGTCTCGCTAGAATCACTCTTGCCGGGCAAAATTGAGTAATTGGATCAGGTAAGAATCTCATGACTCACACAAAGAGCTGCCTCACCTACTCTGGAGAGAATGGGTGATTTGGCAATCGCCTATGGCTGGCTGGTGGGGGTAGATTATTCGTAGTGTTAACATCGAGCGGTTGAATCTAAATAGATCGGCTGGTCGTAACGTTTTTCAGCACAGTCTCCGATTGAACTGGGCTGACAAGGAACTTACCTGCGCAGCAAGACTCGCTTGCCTTCTCATCGTCAAAGTGTAAGTAGAATAGACATTATTATCTCGACTTGACTCAACTGGTAAGTATGTGCAAATGTACAGAAAGTTTGGGCCTAGACTAGACCGAGGGCCTGGCTAGCCGGCACGAACACGAGTCGAGTGGAGTGAACCGCTGAGGGCCTAACGAGAGCTGCATGGGTGTATACTGTTTGCATGAGTGACGGCAAGGGCTTGGAGAGTCAAAGGCGAAGAACTTATCATGGGCTGGCTGCTGCTGAGCATCTAATGGCTTCTTAGTGCGAGGGAAACCATCCAATGCGACAAAGCAGAGGTCTATTATCTAGACAGAAACCCCGGGAAGAAGGCCATATTTATAGGTTTTTGGCTCATCTTGTTGCCCCGTGCCTCATATTGCAATGCCGTGGACTTGTCTGCATGTCGCCAATCTAGAAAGCCTCATGCACATCCAAAGTGATGCTTGTTGAACCTCTCCCTACTGCGGCGGTGGGGTGGCCAACAATGAAGGTGATATAGTGAAAGGCTTTTCCGAGAGCCACGCCATGGCAACAGTTCTTTGTGCTACATCTGGTGAGGCAGCGGTGGCTTTTCCCAACATTCACCTTTGTTTGTTCAGGCTTCAACCTTGTATCAACAATCAACATTTATAAACGATGTGCGGTGGATCCCCGCTTCACTACGGCCTGCTATATTATCCCCATCATTTCATTTTCAGTATTGGCTACGATTTGAAACCGAGCCTGGTAAACGTGTTGCGTTCTGAATCAGTCTACGTCAACGCGCCCTCATTTGTTGAGTACGGTCGCGCATGAACACGGTTACCATCCATGCAGAGGCCTCCATTGAGTGTACCCGTACTGCCATATTCGAATTCAGATTCCCCGCGTCCACTCAGAAAGTAATTCTCCAATTCTATTGCAAATCACGCTAGTTTACATTCGGATTAGCTGCAGATCGTGGCTTGCATGCTGCGTACAATACAGTCACTGGTCATTAGTGTTTAAAACATGGTACTTGAGCCCACGGCCATAAAGATTGGTAGGGTAGGTACCTTGTCTCAAACAATTACGAACGGTAACCGTATTATGTACACGCCACGATGTGCAGCTAACCTGAATATTCACCAGCGCTTCTTAGGATAGAGTTAGAGAATTATTTTCTGAGTGGACGACGAGGAGTCTGATTTCGAACACGGCAGTGCTACAGTACATCGGGTGTGTAATTTTGAAAATTGAAAGCTACGTCCTTGATTTGCTCATGCGCCAGGAAGCGTCGTCTATCGAACACGAGGGGATATATGGCCAGAAACGAGACTCGCTGGGACGATGCCGTAGAGATATAATTTGGTATGTGTAGATGAGCCGGAGACCAACACCTGCCCGAACAGTGTCCTTTTGTATTCCCTTCCTCGTTGCGAGCCAACAATGACGCCCACAAAGGCATCTTCCTAGGTGCTATTGCCTCAAAATAACAACCGAAATGCTGCTCGCGCCGGTCTAGCCTCTCATCATTACCCACTGCGAATGTTTGAGTGACCCCCGTACCTGGCGCCCAATCTCCACATAGTCCACCGCTCGCTACAGATAATTTCCCATACAAGGCGTAGGCATAGAGATGAGGACAAACACCCTTATCTATAATTACTGCCGTCTTGCAGGATGTGAATTGTTGAATACACTTACAAACTATGTTAACCTATTTACGGCACGGTCGGTTTAAAGATCATCTTAACTCATTCTGGAAGCTGTAGGGCTCCTAGAACGCTCATTTAAGATCCCAGGGCCAGACCTTTGGTTGGGGGGATCTAGGTGAGATGGCCCTGGGGCCGGCCCTCTGAATTTTTGCGCAGGCTTCTGACCACAGCGGGTCACGAGACGAATGGTCCTGGGATCTCCACCGGTGATATCGCGAATGACTGAACCGAATCTGGGAATGCATCCACTCGCCCCAGGAGCTACTTGGTGCTTAGGACTCTCGAGCCAGATCCTAGAGCCTCTGCTCTTGGTCTTGGGACCAGGAATGTGCTTTCAAGGGTTCAAGTAGGATATCACTAGGATGGGTACTTTGGTTCCACGTGCAGGCTTCTGGTTCTAACTTCTGCGAGATATCTAATTAAAACCCTGTTAGGAACATACATGAAGTCTAAAGGGCGGATGGTGACATAAAATAGAGACCCACTTGCTGCTTGTGGTGTAGGCCACTGAACAGTCTTGCATCTCATATCTCTGTTCTTCCGTATAGTATCTAGGCGGGTGCCACCATTTTGCTTCAAATATGGGTCACCCTAGATGCGATTAGCCCTGCTACATTCCTCGGTCTACGTATTGGTTATCTAGGGCCAACCCGCTATAGGTTTCCTTCGTGTCTATTGCTGATTTCGAGACACTGTCAAACTCTATGTATCCATGAAAATCTCTCAATATATGTAAATCTCGCTCGTAGAAGCCCGGTCGGCTGCTCCTCGAGGACTAGATCATTTTGTCTCATGGATATCGGCAATTTTTCCTGATTTGCTCACATTCGAGAATATTGACTCGCATAAATTAAACACGAAATCAGCGCTTGTGGAGGCGTGTGAGTGGCTTTTTAACCACCCTAGCTAACAGTCATGGCTTCAGACAAGACAATCAACAGATACCCACAGGGACGTACAAGCGACGGTTGAAGCAAATTGGACGGTGGAGAACGATAAAGGGTAGCGCTTTTGTATTCCCCGTTCCTGATCTGATATTACAAATATGCTCCTATCGCCAATTACTGAATTTCTTAGTAACCGATAACGACCTCTACTAATCCCACGGAAGGGGACACCATCCTGAATCCTGAAAACTAGTCACCTAGAATTCACCTTGACCAAAATTCGCCATCTAAGATCCACTGACTCTTGACTCTGGCAACCGCGCCGACCGTCGAAGTGACGGCCTGGTGCGAGATTCCAAGACCTGAGAACTTCCTCGGGCAAGCCGAGCTGACCGACGCACACCGTGTTCCACGCCATGTTTCATCAACTGCCCCTGAAGGAAATAAAGAATCCGAGGATTTGATGCAGCTTCCATGGCACTTCGCAAGTGGTAGATATCTCTTCCACGGTGGTCGCGGCAAAGACTCCTGACAACGTGCTCCTTTCCGTTCCGGGCTGCCAGTCTCAGGGCTGACTCCCCATATCGATTAGTCCCCGCAAAATCGAGTCGATCGTCTTGGAGCAACAGCTTCACAATATCCAGATTCCCATAAGAGGCAGCAATATGTAGTGCTGTGTCGCCAAGAGAGGTCTTGGCGTTGACGTCCTGTCGAGACCCTTGTTCAAGAAGCAGTTTTGCAACACCATGGGAGCCGATCTCGATCGCGATAAATATTGGAGACTTGTCCCAGTAGGGTTGATTGGCATCAACCACTTCAAGAGAGACAAGTCGGCGGACAACTTCCAGATGTCCCCTGTCGGCGGCAAGATATATGGGAGGAGCGTGCGGTACATTCAATTCTAGATCGCTCCTAGTAAGGAGAAGCTCCAATATCCGCAGATCGCCCTGGCCTGCCGCGTAGCTGAGGGCCGTCCACCCCTGCTCATCGCCAATGTTTTGGTCCAGTGAATCCATGTCCACAAGCAGGCAAGCGAGACGAATGTTTCTGCCTTCAACTACCAAGTGAAGAGCGGTCTTTTGGCCAAGGCAGCGTCCATTGAGATTGGCTGATTTCTCGGCCAAAATCTGCAATGCGACGAATCGGTGGTCTTTACGAGCAGCCGCACAGAGAGGTGTAGCTCCTACGTTGTCAGAAGCAGCAATTTCAATTCCACACCTGCTCAAAAGGAGCTTGGGAACGTTCCCTTTATGCCCCTGCCCAGCAGGATCAAGTGCACAATATGGACTGAGCTCAAGACAGGTCTGTACTCGAGTCGGGGGTAGAGGTATTCGCGAGACATTCCACTGTCCAGCCATACAGTGCAACCAAGCCGAATATAAGCGGGAGCACGCCTTCCAAGACGCACAATGGCGGCTGGAGGACAACATCCTGGCAAGACTTCGAAGGATTCACATGCTCTATCTGTGGCAATCACGAACACTCCAGCCACACTCGCGGCGGCATACCACAGCCATTCCGCCAGCGGCGATTCATATACAGCGTCATCTGTCCGGCCACTTGACTGGAATGACCTATACCTGTGGGGTCCCGAAGTGCCAGCGCCGCTTCACGCGTTGCGATAATCTCAAAACCCATTATGCCACGCATCGAAGACAGGGCGGCCGCAATCGCTACGTGGCGACTCTGAATCGGACTAGATCGGCCTACCATCCTCGTTTCTGCGACGGCTGACGTCCAATCGCTGGCTGGTCACGAAGGGAAACGTATGCTCGTCTGATATGTAACACAGAGTATGTCAAGGGATGCACAGCAAGGAGCACGAAATGTGCACTACCCTCTTGTGGTGGCCCGCTAGGTCAGCGAACTTTATCTTTGCTGACATGTGAGATCATTGCATTGACACGGTGCAGGGAGTTGATGGTTCAAATCTTTGAACATTGTCCGAAAATCATGATGCGCAGTGGATTCGAACGCAGGACCTGGAAGTGAGAACAGTTACCAGTGGGCCCAAAGTGCATAAAAAACTCCGAATGGTTTGATGGTTGTCCACTTTTCCTCCCGCAAGATCATTGACATCCCAAGGTTTTCTGGGCTTTCAATAGGTTTTTGTCCCTTTTCTGATCAAGAATTGATCGGGAAAGCAATAATTAAATGTCTATTGTACGAGTTAGATCTAGCCCTAAATGAATGGCTGAATGAGCTCCCGACACATAACTTTTGGACAGCCTTCGATTAGCTCGGATTTTAGGATTTCCCCGCCACTGTGAGCCCAGCTCCCTTGCGCTAAGAAATCTAGACACGGTCTGCATAAAACTTGCTTCCTCAATAGACAGGAAGTGAAAACATGAATGAAGTCAAAGAAATACAGGATTATTACGTCGACTAACTAAAGCTATCCTGATAGAAAGATCAGGCAAATCTAGTTATCAATTGCGCAACATCCCCTGGCTTGTTCTCCATGGGGTAGTGACCACCATTTTCGAGCATGATACCTTCTGGTGCCCAGTCCGCCATATTGTTTTTGCCGATTACACACAAAAGGGCCTCCTTGTAACCTCTTCCCAATGGATCCCGTTCTCCGAACACGACGACGCTTCTCAATCGTCTCGCAGGGGCCTCGTCCTGGTCGCCACTTCGATTCTCCCTCAGGTAGCGACGTGCACCGTCAATTTTCTCCGATAGCAGGGCTAGGGTGTTCAGATCACTGAAGCCTTTTGGACAAAAAGCTTCACATACCTTCCACAGTGGCTTCTCGCGCAAATCCTTGAGGAAATGTGGCGGTATTCCGGTGCTCATGTAGGCAAAAGGCTCAACGCTCGGTCCAGAATTGGCTGGTAGGTGCCGGTAAGGTGCACCGTAGCCCTTAGCATCCCCTCCTGGAACTTCATAAAACATGAGCCGCGTAATAGTGGATTGGGAAACATATCCATCTAGGACTCGAGTGAGGAGAAACCATAGCCCGTTGAGAACGCGGCCATTCGGGCCCATTTCGTTGGGTTGGCATGGTAAGAATGAGTTGACGAGGAAGAGCCCACTGCATGATGAAGGAGGAAGATAGGGGATAGAACATAGAGCCACATAGCTATAATGTTGTTATTACTTCGTTAAAAAAGAGCCGTGGAGGAATGGGTAAATACGCGGTTGCCGTATGTATGAGGAAAAGGCAAATTCAACTTACCCACCCCAATTATGTCCTACCAGCACAGCACCTTTGAGCTGCACATGGTTTACAAAGACCATCAACGTTTGCATGTGAAGCTGGAACGTAACAGACTCTCTTCGTGTTGGCTTGTCGCTTCGTCCGTGGCCAATCCAATCGAGCGCATAAATTTCATGGCCCTCCGCGAGAAGTCGAGGCATAATCTACATAGGGGCACCTGTTAGTAGTGTCGCAACGTCCGTATAACAGGATCATCTGAAAAAGCTTAAACATATTCAGACACACCTTTCTCCACATATAACTCCAGCTCCGACTTCCGTGTAGAAACACAATGGGCTTTTTCGGCAGAGGTGAACAGCTACCGTTATCACCTTCCTCTGGCCTCAGATGGACGAATCTCGCTCTTGCACCACAAACGCTCAGCTCTTCAGTGTGTTCATTCCATGAAAGGTCCTTCATCCACTCCTTTCCGGATTGTTCGACCCTGATTAAATCATCGTCTCGAAAAATATATTTTCCCTCAAGCTGAAGTTGAGCCAGCATCGCCAACTGCCTCCTATGGGATTCGGTTTGCTCAATGAGCTTGTTCCACGGGAAGACAAGGCACCAGATATTTCCGAAGATGTTCGGAATCAAACCAATCAGGACTTGTAGAAGGTATGTGGGGAGAAGGACGCTGATTGCGAACAGCTGGAATATAATGTAAGGTAGAAGGAATACACTTATACTTTCGTACGCTGCCCTGATGGTGACAAGGATCTGTCCAACAGCCATGCGTAAGAAGCAGCGGGTGAAGCATAACGCCGTCAAGTTCACAGATTGCGCCTTCTCCGACCCCCAGTTCAGGACGAGCGGCTTTCTCCAGGCCATATTGTGAGAGTCAGAGGAGAAACGATTTCTGAGAAAGTCTTCTCTCTACCAAAGTGATTAATGAAATTTGGCAAGATCCTTCCCTCTAGATCAGAGAAAGGAGAGATTAATCATTTATAGTTCGCATTCCGGAAAATGCGAATTTTCCCATCTTCTTTGCCGTTGTTATCCCCCTTGGTATTTCTATTCTAATCCTTCTAAAACCCATGTGAAAGGTATGTAAGCCAAGAATGCGCCAAGATATTAGGAAGGACAAAGCTCCTAAATACTCGAGCTCCATTCTCATGGTCGGAAAAACGGGAAATGAGGTTTTGAAACAACTGCGCTTAGAAATTGTTGAATTCAGTATCAGTTAAGTACGTCGCAACTATTACTTGTAACACGGTTAGGATCCATGAGCTAACTTGGGCACGAGGCGCGTACGTACAAATCTGGCAGTAAGCGTTCAGACTTAAAATTCCAGTCTCACAGTATCCTGGGGTGATTTGACCCCCCCCCCCCCAACCCCAGAGGACTGAATTTAATCGCAGTTACAGTAGATTTCGAAAACAATTTACCCCCTAGACATTTACTTTTACTCTCCCGGAGACCCACTTTAGCGCCTCGTCCGGATCGCCCTGGTTCTAGATTCTCCTACAGCCAATGATACGACGCCATGTCTCGAGGAAGGGGCTCTGTCTAGCCAAAATTAGTTTAGTGCAATCTAAGTAGAGCGCTGGGATAGAAAGCGTGTGTGTCTTAGAGGGGAATCTGTTTTCGAAATCCTCTATAAAGGAAGCGTAGACATAGTGAGCTTACTACTATATAGAAATAATTCGCCCTTACACTCGCAGCCATTACTGTATGCCAGCAACATGACGACTTTCATGTCGCCAGTTTCCACTAGAGGTTTCCTCGCACATGTCTCTGCCATATGCAGTGGAATCATTGACTCTAGACTGATTCAGACTCGCTGTTATATAATCCATGAATAATGGCTTTAATTGTCAAGTTGGTTCAGCTAGATTCGGCCGATTGGCTGATGTGAGTCTTGTTAATTAACGTTGCGGTCGATCTCGACGGACCGTGTAGAGCCTCTGAAACAAATCTTAGATTCCGACTGCTAAATGTCGCTATAAACGTTCGAGTTCCTTTGATGATTGTGCTTACATGATCGCGTTTTATACTTGCAGGGGTCCATTCAGGGGTTGTCGCCTAGCGATCCCGCGCCAGGTGCCACCCACTTGTAGAAACAGGATAGGTGAGAGCTCTGAGATGCCGGTTCTCACATTGGCTCTGTCTTGATGACTCGAAACGATCTCTCAGCCTCATCTCAAGAGAGTGGTGTTGCCGCCTCCTGCCATGAAAGAATGCGAACCTTTGCCCACGCGGCCTGGAAATATCCTGACAGATCTTGCGCACTGATAAATCACTCTTTTGCCTCCAGGAATCCGTGATAGGGTTCCCGGAGCCGACAAGGCTCCCTGGAGCTCTCAAGCATGGTCCTCGAATGAACGTATGGCCAATGTCGAATATAAAGAGATCAGTACCATCTTCAAAAATAGCTACAAACTCGTCTCATTCACAAATTTACTGCCGTTAGCAAGATTCTCACTGTCTCTAAACGCTCATCCTCCGCGAAGATCAGTTTAATGTCACTTCTGCATACCCTCCACTCTTCCTCCGCTGATTCCCTATAGGATATACTCAAAGTCCTTCCAGGCCAGATCATCTCACATATTGTCTCTCAGCTAGACTTTCATGACCTGGGCTCGCTGGGCATATCATGTCGAGATCTCTACTGCATACTACAGCCCCACATCCTCAAGTGGAACATTCAGCGTCAGAACAGTAGTCTCCTGCACCTGGCAGCCAGAGACAACGACAATGCTCGGGCGGAGCTCATGCTTCTTCATGGTGCCGATGCCAACACATTCTTGCGTGGGAAGACTCCTTTAATGAGAGCTATTCAATATGGAGCGTCAGATGTTCTTGGGCTCCTGCTCAGTCATGAGAGAATTGACTTTCGCATGCAAAATAGAGAGAGAGAAAGTGCCTTGACATACGCCATGAAATACGGACGCTTGAGAGAAAGAAAGGCGATCCAGCCCGAGAGGCACATTGCAATTCGCGACGAACACGATCAGGGTCTGCTTTCCTTGGCCACTTTCAAAAGTCAGATCGGATGTCTGCGGAGGCTACGGATTACATGCAACAATCTGAGAACCAAGGTCAGCCAATGTCATAGGTCAAAGGGCATGTGACGATGAGGCTAGTTTTGAGCGTTGAATCAACCGGATGAGCTAAGCCGACATCGAGGTGCCAAACCGCGCACTCAATTTGTACTCTCTTGCTGATTGTGAGGGCATTGGGAGGTCATTAAACCGTGAACGCCAACGTTGAAATTACAAATATTACGCTGATAGACACGTCACGCGCTATATAATGAAGATTTTCACAATGTATTTAACACACTCATGAGAGTTAGATTACCATCTAGCAACCAATCGACCACCATGAGTTCTCCCAAACGACCTTTGTCCTCTCCCACGTCGCAGTCCAAAAGACAACGCGTTGACACAAATGCGGATGATGAGATGCAGGAGGAACTAAGCAATCGGGCAGCTAGAAAAGGCACTTCGGTTAGCGAAAACCAGGTCTAAGAGCCATGCAATCATGGAAATAGTAATGCTGATCAGAGTGATCCAGGGTCCCACGACTTCAGCAAGCCTCTCCACAGAGTTTGAATATATTCTACGTCATCACATCTCCCTTGCGGCTCCCATCATCAGCCTTCTCGACTGGTACCTCCGCTTATGGAATTGTTATATCGTCGATTCTGCACTTCAGATACGGCTCGAAGAAGAGCAGGGTCAGCTTCAGCGGTCAATTGTATGGCTGACCGCTGAATGCGATATATTACTCCAATGCTGCAATGATCAGGCTCTGGAGCTATTCGGCCGCCGGAAAGCTGTGGCTGGCCTCAATGATGGGATCGTTGAGGCTTTGAAGGCAAGCGAGAAACGCGTTTATAGGATGATCGAGTTGAATTAGTCTTGCAAACACGATGCCATGGGATACCAGCCGAGATTGGTATCTCATTCCTGGTCCAATATGTATGTAGTATGTTCGCTACCTTTGTTTCGTAATTCTTTTTTTTTTGCTGTTCTCGGCATCACAGTGTCTGGTTTGTGCGCAATTTCTTAACTACCAAGTCGATGGCTTCATAAAAGATACAGCTCTATCCTCACTCTCCACCCCTGTAATTACACTCGAATTCCAGCATTAAGATCGCTGGAACCCCTAGGATATCATTGCTTTGGCTTAGGAGGGGGCTTGCCGGAGATGGGTGTCATCGTGAGAACTATGATTCTTTCTACCCTGCAGTATGGCTGACCACACTCGGCTTCATCCTCGGGACGCTATGCGGATGAATCCCAAGTCTCTTTTTCGTCTTCTTAACAATAATAATGACGGCTCTTTGGTTCTGTGCCTATCAACTGAGCACAAATTGATGCATTCTATGGAGAGGAAGCAAGAATGCTCAAAAGTCCTTGAAACATGGCCATCTCATTTAAACTTCCACAAACACCCCCCACCATCTATTGGGAATTGCACTACCGCCATCGGCTCACTAGCAGTTCTTTATTCACTAAGCTTTGACTCGAGGCCATCAGGGTAGCGATTCCATTCCTTGAGTATTTCAGTCAAACGGAGTCGAGATGACTCCAGCGCCTGATCAAAGAAATGCAACCGAGCCAGCTGGTCATCATGGCTTGACTGCATTTTGTTCTTCCCGTTCACCAACTTTTGTTGAGTCTCCCTCAGGTCGTCATTTACTTTGGCCAACTTCTCCCCCTCCATATGCTTTGCCATGCATGACTCCCACAGGCGCCGATACAGTCCGACGAGTCTTGCGGCTTGGAACGCAAGCTTCGGGTCCTCACGTTCGAGCCGCGCGAGAGCCTCCATCGCAGGTGCAAATGGCTGATCCCTCAAGGAAGGTCTCTCTGTATCATCGGGCTGTTGGTCACGAGTCAGCTAATCCTTATACATGCCCGTGCTGGTCCTACTTACGATTGCTGGGCTGGATGGTAGATCCACTTCAATCTGCGGGTGCTGCTCCATGTGGGGGATAGGTTCGCCGGCTGGAGGATGGCCACCTGCGGGCTGAATCTCAGGCAGCTCTTCGGCAGATTTGATATTGGAGGCGTCCATACTGAATCGTGTGTATCGTGTCTGATCATGGATGGTGCTTGCGATGCTCATGATGCTGCAGAATTTATATCTTTTCGATGTACGTTCCACTGAACCAAGATAAACAACTTGAATACGGTGATTGCGGTTTTTGAATGTTGAATCAACGGACCAGAGCCCCAGTGAAACCACTTCCCTCTTAGATCATGCAGCTACAGTACTATACGCTTAGTTGAATCAACGTTTCCCGATTCAAGCCTCTTAGAAAGCGGATTGCTTGGAATATCTACACAGTACAGCGTTCTCTAATCTGGAGCCTTCCTAGCTACGTTCAGTACCTTATCTTGCTGGCTTGTCTTCATATATTTCCCAACCTGCATGATGTCCATGGGTTTGTTTCTGTGGAGGCTTTGAAATCTTTCCATCATCTAAATGAACCTACAGCTTGACAAAACATGCTCGTGGATGGATAGCGGTGGAAACTACAGCAGTGGTAAGTCATTATGGTCTCCTCTGCTCAGATGATAGGTTGAAGCAAAAACTAAATAAGCTATGCAGAGTGGCACCTTCCTGGCACTCCACGAGACTCCTTCTGTCAATGGCCTGGCTTCCAAGCCGATTATAGGCAATTTCCAGTAGACTGGAGTTATGTTCAAAACACTTCCTGGTCCGATATGGAATCTGTTTCCTATGCGCCTGTCCAGCAAGATCAAGTTCATGGTATGGACTGGTTTCAATATGGGTCTGACCTCGAGTCTGAGGTCGAGTTCATCGCGAGGAATCCCACTGTCGAACCATTCAGTGTAAACAAGTCGACAATAAGTGAAAATACGCCCGCCGAAACATCCAATGGCGGTTGGAGGAAGACGTCCTGGCCAGACTTTGAAGAGTCCACACGCCTCGTCTGCGGCGACCACGAACACTCCAGCCACACCCGCAGCAGCATACCCCATCCGTTCCCCCGACGGCAATTCAAATGCACCGTTGCAAGGTGCAGTAGTCGCTTTCGATATCTCAAAGGCCTACAGCGTCATCTGTCCAGTCACCAGGCTGAAAGGTCATATGTCTGCTGGGTTCCAGAGTGCCAGCGCCGCTTCACCCGTGGCGACAACCTCAAAACCCATTATGCCACACATGGGAGACCGGGCGGCCGCAATCGCTACGTGGCGACTCTGGATCGGACTAGCTCGGCCTATGATCCTTCTTTTCGTGGACGGCTGACGTCCGATGGGTGGCCAGTCACGGAGGGACAAGGCTCGTCCGATATGTAAATTAGAACTGACTCGAAGAGCGCGGTAACCACAAAAAGAGAACTAGAGAAAAGGCGGAAAGCTGTGGAGACAACGCGCTCCATCCGCGACGCGTACCTCGCTCTTGGCCGAACCTTGTTGAGGCCGACATGCTAAATCATTTATTACAATGATACGGGCCAAGCTGATAGACTGAGGTGTGGACAGCATTTGAAAAGAACGATGCCCGGAGGATTCGAACGCCTGACCTCAGGGGCGAAGCTACCAAAGTACCACTGGGCCAAAAAGTAACCCACGTGGATTTCTTGGATTACTTGAAAGTACAATGTGTTCATGATTGGACAATTACTTCCCTGAGTTTTCCCCAGCTTCAGATATGTTTTGGCCCTTCTTAGCTCTCAATCCGGATAGAAAGTTGCTCCAGAAAGCAAATTTAATACACAAGATGGCTTTGCTAAATATTATTCCACTTACGATTGTTCCATGTGCTGGCGCTCATTTCCGACCTGAGATTGGTTATTATATATTTTGCCCGTTTAGCGCTAAACAAATCCCCGTCGGCCTGTGTAGGATAGATTACCAGCATGAAATCAATGATGTGCACATGAGGCAATTACCGAAAAATATTCCGAAATCATCAAGTTGCCATGAGAAAAATAATGGATATCTCAGTATTGGTAAATTTTTCTATTGTGCCTCAATTGTGGGAGGAAGTGCGACCGCATTTTGATACTACGCGCCCGCATGGGCAGATTCGTGACTCGAGATGCGTACAGCAAGTCCGTTCCTCGCGAGTGGTCGATTTTCTGGTGTGGTAGCGCAGGAAAGCATGATACGAGAATCATGTCCATTGAATAATGAATATCAGTGATATCACATAAATGTAACGGCGATGTTGTGGGTGCAGCCGTTAAGGTAACGCCGTGGTGAGAACAGAAGTCCTGTTGAAGAACGGTTGCCAGAATTGTTTACAACCATAGTTCCGGGGTGAACTCACGGTCACCGTTGAGTCAAGGAAAATACGAAAGACCTCACAAACTGTCAACATCAATCTGTCTCAATCTGCCTGGGTTGAAAAGCGTGTACTAAACATTCGGGTGCTGAGAAGACTTATGCCAAGACTTCAACGTTGACATGGATATACCAACAATGGAGTTGAGCGACGTCTTTAAATACAACGCCGAAACGTGCAAGTCCCTGAACAATAAGAAAGGGGTCGACTTAGAGCACGCGACGAGTTGAACCACATAGAAAAGTGATGGCAGAAAAATTAGAATGTACCGCCGAGAATGCGCAACTTTACGTACGTTTTGAATTTACGTACGTTTTGAATTTACGTACGTTTTGAATTGGAAATCGACACTGAATGCGTCACGCAACTCGTAGCTCTCATCATTTCGCACTGTTTGTCTTGTTGAACCTGTGAGAGAACGACTAGGGTGGCGTCGGGTGATCACCGTGGGTAGCCACTTCACCGCTCGGCAGTTTCGCCGCACCACATCAACAAAGGGAGGGACCCACTGGTCCGACCTGGTTATCACAGTGTTCACCCTCAATTCTCACTCACCTCTAGCCTCACCACCAGCAAACTGTACCACCATTTTCCATCGAGCCTCCGAGCCTCACCTTCAATTCTG